ATAATTATTTAACATACAAGTGAATTTTTTAGATTAACTTATTGAAATGAACAGAATTTCACTGACCAAGTGATCATGATACTTTTACCTGAGACAGTTCCTTTTGTATGAGGCATTTGAACACAATGGCATGTTATTAAGAATATAATTTGTGGTATATTTATAAAAATATATATCATATATCTACATATGTATTAGAAGACTGATATCCAAGACCAGGGAAAACAAAGGTTAGGACTGGTCAATAGTTGCAACTGACCACAAGTATGTGTAGGGAATAAAGTAAGTAATATAGAAAAGGAACCCATGTGATAATAGTTAGAAATGATCAAACTGGACAAGAATTGAGCATGAAAAATAGGTAAAGGAATGTACAGGATAACCTTTCAGTATCTGTATTGTAAACCACGATGCCTGAAAGGGGAGAGAGGAAGTAAGGAGTGAGAGAGAGAGAGAAAGAGAGGAGAAAAGAGGGAGAAGGAGAGAGAGAGAGAGGAGAAAAGAGGGAGAAGGAGAGAGAGAGAGAGAGAGAGAGAGAGAGAGAGGAGAAAAGAGGGAGAAGGAGAGAGAGAGAGAGAGAGAGAGAGAGAGAGAGAGAGAGAGAGAGAGAAGAAATGTGCCTGCCTTAGAGGCAGGCTGGGACAGGGGATGGGGATTGCAGCAGATGGAAAATGGGTAATTGGTGGTGGGAAATGTGCAATGGTGGAGGGATGGGTGTTGGAATACTGTATGACTGAAACCTAATCATGAACAGCTTTGTAAGGATCTCTCTCACATGGTAAAAAGGTAAAAGGTAAAGGCCCTCCCGTTGATCATCGATTTGCTCAAGCGGGCCCAGTAACGTCTCCATTGGAGACTTTGTTGTTACTGTGTCTGGCATATCAAATACGTCACGGGGAGCTTGCCAGGCTCTGCCTGCAGGCGAGATACTCTCGGTAGCTTGCCGGGCTCTCTGAGAGGGGCGGAGGAATCGAACTTGGGTCGGCCATGTTGGCTGCGTGCAAGGCAAATGCCCTACCGCTGTGCTATCACTCCAGCCCGGGTAACTCAGTCGGTAGAGCATGAGACTCTCTCACATGATTCAATAAAAAATAATTTAAGAATATAAACATGATTTTTTAAAATAAACTACTGATGGGAATGTCGATTGGTTTAGTCTGTATGAAAAATAATGTAGAAATGTCTCATAAAAATAATAATAGAATTTCCATGTGACCCAGCAATTCCACTTCTTGGCATCTAGACCCCAAGTGCAAACACATTATTTCAAAAAGATATATACATACCTCTGTTCATTGCCATGTTTAGCACAATAGCCAAGATATAAAAATGGATAGATTAATGGATAAAAAAGTTCAATGACAGATGAATGGATAAAGAAGTTATGTATGATATTCTATCACTGTATCACTGTCATCCCATTGTTCATCGATTTCCTCGAGCAGGCACCAGTAACATCTCCATTTGTCCTAGTCTTGAGATTTTAGCAAGTGCCACACTGGAGGCTCTTTCAGGGTCAGGGGAATTAGACCCATCATTGTTACTGGGTTTTTGCATATCGAATATGCCACAGGGAGCTTGTCAGACTGCCTTGTGGGCAGGATACTCTCGGTAGCCTGCAGGGTTCTCCAAGAGCTAGAACTAGACAGTAGGAGATTGCGAGGCTGCACGCTTCTGGAAGCTTGGTTTTATAGTCTCTGGCTCTTGGCCGTTGATGGGATTACACAGGAGAGCAGGAGGGTAGTTGGTGGGTGTAACGTCTAGCTACTGGAAGATGGGAGATCTGGGTGGAGGAGGCCCAGTCCCAATCCGAGCAGGCTTGGAGATCTCAGCCCCAAATCCAGCACACTTGGGTTCCTCTGCCAGTTCCTTCATGTGTGAGGTTTGTCAGAATGTGTGGAGAATGGTCTTAAGCATGGCTGTGGCTGGTTCCAGAGGTCTTCTGCTGCCGGGGCTCTGCTCTTGGCAGGGGGGAAACTTAACCCATCCCCTCTCCAAGGGGCCCTGGTGAGAACAGCCAGGTGTGGGGGCAGGAGACTCTATATATTATTATAGAATAATAATATAATCTATTATTATATCTCTCAGTATAATGTTATATAATATTCTATAACAGTAGAATATTATTTACCTGTCAGTAAAGACAAAACTATGCAGTCATTACATACATTATGAATGAAACTGAATGGTATCATGCTAAACAAAATAAATAAGAGGAAAAAGGACAAGTTCTGAATGATCTTAACTCATCTGTGGAATATAATGAGAAAAACATGGAAAAAAATCAATATTGAACAGTAACAAATTGTTGACCTTGGGAAGTGGTGGGAAAAATGATGATGGGACTAGAGGTGACACAGGGACAAGTTGTGGGAGGTCTTGGGTTCTCTGGTAGTGGTGAAGTGCAGTAACTTTGTGCATTTGGGCACTAATGTAGTTATCTTACCTAAACTATAGAAATATTGAAATTAATTTTTAAAAATGAATACCACCTTCTACATGTCAGATTCTCTCACTTTGGCTTATGAATTAGATGGTTACCTTGTGTCACTCGAAAGCAAGAGGAGTTAGCAGCAGTTCTGTGCTTTTATTTTACTTTTGCTGATGTTCATTCGAGCAATCTAGAAATCCCTTCTGAGATGCATAAAGAAATAAACATATAGTGAGTCATCATTTGAATCACTTTCATTGATCTTCTAGTCGACAACTCAGTCAGGTTCTTCAGTTTTCCTTTGTAAATAAAAATTGGAGAGTCCCTGATTTGCATAAATGTCAGTTATCAACAATTAGTCTTTCATTTCCTCAATTTCAGGAAAAACTTTTCCTATTTTGAAAGGGCATCTCAACAGACTCCTGTTCCCCCTTTGGCTTTGAGATAGTTTGCTTGCTCAGAAGTTGTTTATAAAATCAAAATGCTGCCAAATACAACTTTGCCTCATGTGTTGTTCATATTTTTATCAAAATACAGTTTGACCCACAGAATGAAACTCAAAATCACTCTGTCAATGAGAAAAATTTCTTCCCAGACTAATTGACTAAGTCCACTCTCATTGTCAAATCCATCAACCAAATATAAATAACTTTCCTTCAGAAAAATAACTGACTTATTTTTAATTCAAATAAATATATTAATACATTCTTCCCTGACAACCATCTCACTTCTGGATTTAGAACATCTCAACAAGTTCCAAAGAACCCTGCTTCTAACAGAAACTTCATCCTAAAGATAAATCCTTACGATAGGAAGAGACACAAATTCCCACATGGCAACCTGGTGCCTAATTAAAGGCTGTCTTAAAACAGCATTATTTCTCTGCCTTTCTGTCTAGAGCCCCAGTAGTTTTTATCCTTCAAGGAAGGGCACTACATCACATACCTTTAAAGAAACAATGAGAGAAAGCACATCTACAGACATCTGCACCTCCATTTTCAGCTTAGCAAAGATGTGTGCCAGAATTTGGAGCTTTGAAAATCAAGTTCTCTGAGGTTCTTTGTGTCCATATTCAACCAGAGACACCTCTTTGCAGTTGGAAATTTCCAAAGAGATAAATTGGGACAGGAACACATGTGCAGGACTTGAGTGTTCGGTGGCCGAGAGTTGCCTCCCCAGGCAAGTCCATGGGCGAAGGACCAGGGGAAATGGCGAAACAGGACCTGGGCCCCAGGCTGGTTGGTAGTCAGTTTATTTCTCTCTCCTCCCCAGCATAATCAGTTCTCTCCCTTATGGTGCAGGCATAGTCATCATTTTGGTCGTAGTCCTGGTCATCAGGGTTCCATCATCCTAGTCTCCTAATGGACCTCCAAGTCCTTTCCTTCATTATACCTTCATTATATCTTCTTCCTCATCTCATCATAGTCTCATAGTCCTCTACTTCCAGTCATCTTATTTTTCCTCCTTGTCTTCAAGTCTCGTCATCAATTTTCTAATCCTCAACGTCTAGTCTTCAGTGTGTAGTCCCAACTTTCTCATTCCTAACATCTAGTCCCAGTGTCTCATCTTCAACTCCTTCCCTCTTATGCCTTACAGCATAATTATAAAAATTATGAAGGGTGGGGATACAAAGGTGGGGTTGAACATTATAATAACCAAAAAATAGATGTAAAACCTCTCCTTTAGGAGAATACAAAATCTCATCTGAGGATTCAGCATTCCCGATTACTAAGGAGATCTGCTCAAGGGTGGGATTTCATCCAGGGTGCATTGCTTTCTCCTTTCCTCAGCTAGTAATCCATTTAAACAGTCATAGTTAATTTACTTCTTATAATATTTCTATCAATGTCATTTTGTATGAACACAATAAGAGATATATTAAGTTTAAAGTTTGACTCTTCCTGAGGACATCTTGTTATATATTCCAGACCATAGTCCTCAGGCCAAGTTATTCTTTTCTAACGCTGGCAGGGTACTTATTCAGTTACTTCTTTTTGGGTTATGAAAGAATTTGTCCATGACCATGCTCTAAATTTATAGTTAAGTATTATGGTGCTTGGCCTGGCACATTTCGATGCCAGGGTAGCTCACATCTTGCCCTGGGTCCATCCAGTCCCTCATCGGGACCCTGCTCTTAGAGTTCTAGGAACTAAGGATAACTGGAGCTTAAGTCAAGTAAATATGGATGCTGAGGAGTAAATATTATTTTGGAGTCTATTAACTCCCATGTTATAAAGCATAGCACGAACTGTCTTCCTGTGTCTATACAAAGAGGATATTGTTAAATAAACCATGCAAATGACATATAGAAAAGAGAAAAGCAATATAGGATTATTAGTGCCTGATGGAATTGGGGGTGCCTCAGTTGCACTGTTGTGGGAGTGGCTCAATAAAACTTTAGCTCCCTGAGGGGAGGAGCAAGGACAACCCAATGTTATCTAACAGTCCCAGGTGTTATGCATCCCAAGCAGAGGAGATCTGTACAGTGACACTCTTAAGTGACTCCACTTTTGCTTTCTATCTCTTTCCTTCTTCCTTGTCTCAAACCCGTTTTCATGTTTATTTCCAGAGACCACCCCAGATGGGGAGCCTCCAACACAGCTCTGGCGAGATGGCTTCCTCCAACCTATGAAGACGGAATCAGTGAACCTCGAGGATGGAACCCTCACTTTTTATACAATGGGTTTTCACTTCCCCCGGTCAGTACCCCAAACACTGCTGAGCTGGTTTCCTTAATGTTCACAAATCTCCCATGACCTTGTGGAAGCGGAGCTTGTGCTGGGGTCTTGTTCAGACAGGGCATGAGGAAGTCAGGTGGATGTGAGAGAGGATAGATGCTTCATTGTCTCTGACTATATTGCACAGTTCTGGCAATCCTCACAATCCTGTGAGGTGGGAAGTCACTGACTCTTCCCTATTGATTGAGATGAGGCTCTGAAGAATGAAAATCATAGAGCTAGTGGGTGTAACAATGCATATTTTAAGTTCAACTCATTGAACTCTTTTATTTGCAATCATTTCAGTGTTTAAAAAAATCTATTCCTAAGTATATTTTTTAATTCTAAAAAAAAATAAAAATTTTTTCTAGGCCCAGACAGGTTTAAAGACACTTTTAATTAACATCATCATGCTACATCATGCTCATATATGTATAATGATTATCACTCTATTCCCAAAAGGTAAATTTGCCGAACTCATTCCCGATCTATTAATCAATTTTGTCCAAAACCAGATCATTTTGTCCCTAATTAAACTATTCATATCAGTGGCTAAACCAGTCTGGTTCCTTTTGATCAGCTGGTCAATAGAATTGAATTCTCAGTATGAGAAGTAAGTATTTGAGCACATGTGCTGTATGTGGTTGTTCCTTTCCTTCCCTACTGAATCCAGCAATTTTCATGGACTGATTTTTTTCATAAGGAAGTTTGATAAGAGGATCAGTTGTTGCCAAACTCTTAGGTAAACAGAGCTAGAGCTCAATGCTATAGAGAAAATTCAATGCTCTTGTCTCTAATGCACCAGTTCAAGCTATTGACCCTTAACTTCCCACAAGTCATCAAAGATCTTTGACTTCAACTATTTCTGAAATTGGGTAAGAATATCTTTTCTGTCCTGATAGACCAGTTGAGTAATATCACCCTTGAAGATTCTAGAGGAGTAGGCGATGGAATAATCTAGAAGAGAGATAGTAGCCTACGTGCCTTTGAAGGCTCTTTCAGAAAGACGGAAGGTTTCCAAGGGACTTTGAATAACTTGTTTTCTGGAAAGGGGGAAGTAGGTCAAATAATTTTGGGAAACTCTGTGCTATACATAGGCCAGTTCAACCAGAGATTTTTTGAACCCTCAAAATTAACACACTATCGGGGCTGGAGTGATAGCACAGAGGGTAGGGCATTTGCCTTGTACGCAGCCTACCCAGGTTTGATTCCCAACATCCTACACAATCCCCCAAGCATTGCCAGAAGTAATTCCTGAGTGCATGAGCCAGTAGTAACCCCTGTGCATTGCCGGGTGTGACCCCCCCAAAAAAGAAAAATATATTAACACACTATGATATAAATAAATACATATTTGGTGTAAGTATAAAAGTCAGAGCTAAAATATCTTTAAATGTATAGTACTTTCTTACTTATACTGCAACAAATTTCTGAAAACATAAAGCTCAATCTTAGAAATTTCTGCAAATTTCTGTAATGCTTAAATATAAACCAATTTGTTATTTTTTTATTTCTATAGGCCAAATGTGTGTTTCATTTATCAAAAAAATTCAAGGCATGGGCAGGATTGTTTCATTTTGCAAGGTCTGAAGGAGAATCTATTCCCTTGCCTTTTCTGGATTCCCTTGCTCCTGGAGTTTCCTTTCAAAGTCAGCCGCATTGCAGCTCTCAGTGCCTTTCTTCAGAGTTACTTCTTGTCTAATTGCAGTCAGAAAGGTTCCTAGATATTAAATATCCATACAATTAGATTGGACCCCACTAGGAAATCAAAGATAATCTTTCTGTCTAGCAGACCTTAAAAAGAAACACAATGCATCATACTTCCTGTTTGAAAGGCTAAAAGTCATGTTATTCACAGCCTCAGGAATTATAAATATACAATGCTATTCAATGGAGGCAATATCCTATCCACAGTAATTTACTCTGTGATTAAAAAAAACAAACCTCATATCCATATCACAAACAAAAGCTCCCCCAAATTCCATTCTATGACAACATCAATTCAAATTTCAATATCTCATCTAAATTTCACTATCTTAATGGTGACAGACTTGATCATTAAATTAATCAAAATGAAGCTGTATATAAGAGCACTTTTAGATCAGAATTCCTTTCCATTTTGGACCAGTGGAACTAGAAAACAAATTTTCTGCTTTCAAAATATTTTGGTGAGAAAGCCATAGGATCACCGTTCTAGGCTTCCTGGTTCAAAATGAATAGAAGAAAAGTAAAGAATGAAAAAAGAATCATTTGTTCCAAACAATGTTGAAATCTGTTCAGACAAACTCTATTAGCTTCCAAGGCCCAGAAATAAACCCTCTGTCAAGTCAGAGATTTCTCCCAGATTTTGTAGACCTTGGCTGTGTCCTTACTTCACCCTTCCTTGGTGGTTCTATGTTCTGCCCTCCAGGGCAAGGCTCCACCCTTGAAACCTGTGACTCTGTCCTTCCGCTATGGACTATATAGTGATTATTGAATCCACCTCACAGAACTAAAGATCGATATTTTGATATCCATTGCAGATGAGGAAACGGAAACTTACAGCAGTTAAGTAGGTCCCATTAGATCAGCAGCACACCAGGGTGTACAGTCAGTCTCCTTCTCTCACTGTAACCCCAGAGACTCCCTCTGTGTGGTCACCAGCCTCCTGGGAACACGTTCATCCCTCCTCCCCGATTCACTGTTTCTTGCAGAGCAGCTTCCTGGATCCTGACCAGCTACTCTTTCCCATCCAGGTTCGGGAGGTGACCAGACAAGTCATTCAAGTTTCCAATGAAGCTGTCACAGAGGATGATCAGTATTCTGATCTCCTGATGGTATGGGGGCAATATATTGACCATGATATTGCCTTCACGCCTCAGAGCACCAGTAAAGCTGCATTTGGTGCAGGAACGGATTGCCAGCTGACCTGTGAAAACCAAAACCCATGTTTTCCCATTCCGGTAAAATTTAACTTTACAATTTTTAACATAAAGCTAATCAATGTCATTTTACAATGAATACAAAGTCAAAATTGAAATGTCAAGGTTCCCTTGAGCCCTACTCTTGAGGATAAAACCTATTATGAATATCCTGTACATCCAATAGAAGTGATCTATGCACAGATGTGTATGTCATGTGCACATGTTCCATTTATAGGTACCTACCGCAAGTCCTCTCACATGCATTGCTCTGAACTGTTCCTCTCCCTCTTTCTACAGCATTAAGTGGACTAAAATTTGATTAATTTATAACTTAATATTCCATTGTGCTTATGCATTGTAACAATCTATCTGTTTATTCATGAGCAAATGGGTCATCTTCAGCTTTGTTATTTTATACTGTCACAAACAATGAAGAAAACCAAATGAGACCTAAATCTTAATGTGTGTCTGCATGTATGTAACAGACAAGTCACTAGAGACAAAATAACCACATGTAAGATGTAGGTGAAATTTTTATAAACATTGCAAAAGTATACTGCATTAATATCATTATCATTTTCCCTCCTAAAAAACAAGAAAAGCAAACAGCTCAGGCAGGATATGAATGGTTTTTCTTTAGCATATACCTTCAAAACTGACAAGGGCTATTTAATACCTAAAAGAAAAGCGAAGGGGATGTCTTCACTAGCATCCTTGCACAGCCCTTACCCTGTGCCCTGTGCTATCATGAGTGTGGAGCCCAGAAACATCCTAGAACTTGTCTTCTAGGCTGCATGTTACTGTGATATTTTGAGCAGCTGAAAAGGAGGTTGCAACAGGTCTGGCACTGAATATATATATATATATATATATATATATATATATATATATAATCACCAATAAAGAAGAACTTGAACAAGAGGGAGGATTAGGGCTGCATAAATCTCAGTAAACTGAATTCTAATTACATCTAACACCTTGACCCTGGAATCAGGCAGCTTTCTCTCACAGGTTTTGACCCAGCTCCTTTGCAAGGGGTTGTTTTCTGCCTCCTAAAAGCATCAGCAATTTGTACCTCCAACCCGGTGCTCTGAGCACCCCAGTGCCTCTTAAGATGAAACTGATCAGTTCTTGCAACAATCTCAATGACTGAGATATTGGCAATATTGAGCCCATATTCCTAAGTAGAGGTCATGTTCATAACTAAGGAATTCAAACTAGAGTAATTATAAATTACTATGACACAAGACCCAGATAGGAGGTCACATTTCCATGCCACCAGATGACAGTTCAAGGTTTGTCCCTGTAACTCTGAAGTTGTGTGTAATATATGTTTGTTTTCTGTTAAAAGTGGGATATTTATGACCTTATATTGCAGCAACATCAATTAAACGTGATCACATTTGCCAAACCAAGCTGGGTCATTGTAAGAACTCAACAAGTGGTCATCTTACAGGGATTTTAATTGATGCCCTAGGTCTTCTAAGCTCCACCTGGACAAGAGGCAGTGAGTGACCTCCTTGCTCACCAATTTGGACACAGCCTTTGTGGGAGAAATCTGCCAGTGTGCAGTGATCATGAGTCTCACTTCTAAAGCTGTGGAATAAGAACTACCCCAGAGTGCTCCATCTTAAAGGAGCAGCCCAGAGTTTAATTCAGGAAAACTAGTCAAAAAGAGTTCTTGGAGAATGGAATGTTCTTACTTTTGATGCTAAAACCAGAGTAGCTAGGATGTTGCAAGGCAGATGTGATGACTAGTTTGGGTCTACAGCCAGGACCAGCAATGAATCATCAGTGACTAGAAAGGACAAAGAGAAGGAGGACAGAGGAATTGTCACAACTCATGGCCCCCATGGGCCACACACATGGAGTATAGAGAACTTGTAGTCTGGGTTTAACTGGAGAGATCTGAGCATCCTTCCCAGGAAACTGAAGACCACACTATGATTTTGGGAAACTTTCCCATTTTTGTCCTCATGGGCTTCTTCCTCTGTAAAAAAAAGCTGAAAATTTGCTGTAAATATATTACTATGAAGATAAATATGCTAATGATGTTAAAGTCTTTGACTAAAAAGGGTTTTCTTTCTGATTTTAAAATAAGTAATTTGGAGGCTGGAGTGATAGTACAACAGGGAGGGTGTTTGCCTTGCAGATGGCCGACCCAGGTTCAATTTTCAGTATCCCATATGGTCCCCCGAGCAACGCCAGGAGTTAATCCTAAGTGCAGAGCCAGGAATAACCTCTGTACATTGTTGGGTGTGACCCAAAAGTAAATAAATAAAATTTTAAAAATAAATAAATAAATAATTTGCAATTCTATCAATTCACAAGGCCCTAGCCTTTGAGCCCTTAATTCCTGCTAGATCAGTGGATCCCACTAGCAAACTTGATACCCTTGGGGGTTTCCAGGGGTATCTAACTTCCAGGGGTATTGTCTGCTGACTTCATATATGGGGAATCAAGAAATGTGAGTATTTAAAACCTGAGGCATAGAGGGCCGGAGTGATAGCATAGCAGGTAGGGCATTTGCCTTGCATGCAGCCGACCTGGGTTTGATCCCCGGCATCTCATATGGTTCCCCCAAGCACCACCAGAAGTAATTCCTGAGTGCAGAGCCAGGAATAACCCCTGAGCATAGCTGGGTGTGACCCAAAAAGCAAAATTAAATAAATAAAATAAAACTCCTGAGGCATAGAGCTGAGAAGGGAAAACCAATACAGGGAGTGTGGTCAAGATTTAGGTAAAGGATTCTATATAAAAAAAAAACAGAAGTAAGTCAAGCCTCAGTGACCTACACAAAAATCAACATGTGTGTGCACATATTTATACACAATCGCATGTAGTTACACACACGTGCACACATGAATGTATGTGTGTATATGTGTGTACACATGTATACATACCTATGCGTTTGTGAGCTTATATACTTATCACATGTACACACCCATATATAAACATATGGGTATATATTTGCACCCACACAACCATGCATGCAGATACGCTTATATACATGCACATATGTCCATAAACTCACACCCATGCACAAATGCACATAGACCAGCTCTGGGATCCCTTTGCTGACCAGAAGTTCTTAGAATAGACCTTAGTAGCTCTGGTGAGTATTTGGTGAGTCTGGGAGGTTGTGAAGGGGCATCTACACCTGGTGACATAGAGGGACTGGGTGGCCCAGACATTGCTCCTCCGTGGCACCAGGTCCACTGTCTTTGAGGTGATTTCATTCTCATTAGTGATCTTGCTTCCTGCTCCATTTTCTCTCTTTTTAGTACTTGGTCAGCTTTCAGTGACTATTTCCCCATGGATTTGAACTCTTCATTCTGGAAGAATGGCACAGTGTGAGTGTTAGGCTCTAGTATCAAGCACTTCGCTCAACTGGAGAAATCCAGAGTGTGGTGGTTGGGGCGCGGGGAGGCTAGAAAACCACCTGTAGGTGATACAGGGGAAAGGCCTCATGCACAGAAATGAGGGGCTGATCCCAAGTCTTGGGAAGCAACTTGGTCACTCAGCACCCTACAGGTTTTTGTCCCCTCTGTCTCACCTCAAATCTGAGTGTTTTATGCTATATTTCAGGGCATGGCAGTGCAGAAGCATAAAAGACCAACTGGAGATGGATTTTCAAAATTCATGATTTATTAAACATTATCTTTACTTTTTAAAGAGTTCTTAAAAAGAAATAGTAAAAAATAAACACCCCATTAGAATAACTGATATCACCTGAATATAAAATAGAAACCACTACACATACAAAAATGAAATATTAATTAACCATAACATGGTTTTTAATTTATAAAAATTTTGAGCTAGAATCCCCAGAGTTGCTGAGGATACAGAGAAATTATTTAACCTCAGGCGTGACTTGTGTAAATGTAAATTAGTGGGAGCCCTTGAAGCCATATGACATAAAACATAAAAAGTATATAAAATCCAATAATGTCATCACTTGAAGAGGCCAGAATAGCCATAAAATAATTTTTCAATATTTTATATTATCAGGATATTAGAAACAAATTAAATGTTGATCATAGAGTATGAACAAAATAAATTATTGTACATGTGGGGGGAAATGCAGCTTTCAATAATCATGCTACAAAATAATATTGCTTAAATGGTAAGATGTTTCCCTGATTAGTGAAAATTTAATATGGTAATTTCATGGTTGCTTTTCTTCACCAGATGTTCATCACTGAACAAACATTAGTTTTGTGCTGAGAGAAAAATAGCAATAAAATAATTTGAAAATCATTACAAACAGAAAGCAAGATTACATTTAGCAGAGAAGGCATGTGTTTTACGGGTTGATGCGAATACCAGAGCACAGCAAGACTTGTCCTTTGGAAGTCGTGGTCAGGAGCTGTGTGAATTTGTTTTCTGTTGTCAGTTAACTGCTTAGATTAGCCATTCATCTCCTGTTCCTTTCAAGGGTTATGGTTAGTACTTAAATGGTTTAGCTCATGGTCACACAAGTAAGATGACAAGTAGACAATATATCTAAGAAATAACTTCCTGAACCCCCAAATGGTATATCATGTATTGTTGTTTCTTTGTCTTAATGATTGGCATCCTTTTGGTCAAAATACATCTCTAGTATTTGAGGCAAGGGTGGAACAAAATATGGTTTCTAGTGAGTTTGGATTTACAAATTTAACACTTGGAGCTCAAAAGCTCGTGGTTTAGAAGACTTTAAAATCCAGCCGGTTACACCTCTCCATCCCTAAATGGGATGAGCAACTGAGACACAGGTGCCAAGGATGCGCTGCAATTTTGGGCAGTGTTCTCCCCACCTGATGCACGAGGATTGTGTACATCCACAGGGGACCCCCGCCAGGGCCTTGCTACCCCCGGGACCCGCCTTCTAGCCTTTGCACGCACCTGGTGCAGTTCGCCCACGAGCTTGCGCGCCTCCTGGTAGAAAGTGTCTACGCTCCAGTGCGCCTTGAGGGCCTTGAGCGCAGTAACCAGGCAGTTGTGCTCACGAAGCCACGGTGATTCAATCCATGGTACCCAGATGGTCCCCTGAGCAC